GAGCCCGGAGCTGTCCCCGCGGGCCGCCCCGCGCCGCCCAAGGGGCCGCCAGTGCCATCCGCCAGCCCTTCCCATGCCAGAGCCAACGCCAGGAGGCCAAAGCCAGAGGAGGCCGAGGCGGCCGTGTCGCCCCTGCCCAGTGCCAGTCTGGCCCCCAGTGCCACCGGCGCCACTCAGCCGCTCTCCGCCTCAGCCCCCCGGGCCGGGGGCTCCTTCGAGATCCACCCGGCCCCCAAGCCCGACTTGGCGGCCATCCCAGCCCACGACCTGCAGGCTCAGGCTCTGGCCAAGCTGCGCCTGAATTCACGCAATTCCTTCCTGTTCGTGCCCCGCCGGGAGGGCGGCCCGGCTCGGCCCCCGGCCCACATCGCCCGGCCGGGGCCACCGCCACCGCCCTCGGAGGAGAAGGCAGCGAAGGAGCCCCCGAGGGCTCCCGCCCCGGAGCAGGAGGAGCCCGCCGCTTCCCCACCGGCTCCTCTGGACCCGCTGGTACCTGTGACTTACATCGATGACATTGTGGAGCCGGACAGTGGGGAGGTTTCTCCCAGGGCCGGCTCGACTGCGAGGACGGGGAGCTTGGATCAGCCCGGAGGAGCTGGCCCTGACCTGGAGATGGAGTTCTCCTCCGTGCCCCTCTACAGACCCCACTCTGCCCCCCACCAGAGGGGAGGCAGCACCTTCACTGTCGTGCCCAAAAGGAAGCCTGTTGCCTCGGGGCTGCAGACTCTCACTGATGCCAGCGGAAGGCCGCAGCGGGAGGAAGAGGATGAGGAGGAGGAGAGCAAAGGAAGGGGCAAAGCCATGGAGAACGCTGATGGGCCCCAGGTGGGGATAGCCCATAAAAAGCGCTACCCCTCGGTGAACGAGATCGAAGTGATCGGGGGGTACCTGTCCCTGGAGAGGTCCTGCATGAGCAAGACGGGCTCCCGCCGCAAGAAGGTAATAACTGCCCGGGACACCTCTGTGCTGAACAGCCGGGCTGGACGGGGCTGCTTTTGGCCTGTCTGTCCATGAGGCACTGGGTGGGAAGATGAAAAGTGTGTTTGGGAAGATGGGCTTGATCCTTTTGGGAGCCAGAGGCTGCTCTTGGGGAGGGGGCACTGGGTGCTGTTCCACAAAGCAGCTGAGGGTGGGATATGCCCTGTGATAACTGCAGGGCCTCTCCCACCCCGTCCCCTCTTGGAGATATGATAACAGAAAGTGAAATATTTCAGATATTTAGGAAATGAGGGTGAGTTGCAAGGTTTGAACAGCTGTGGGCTTTCCCTCCAGCTCTGCTCGCTGTGTCTGCGGGTGCCGGACATGTTGAGCTCCCCGTGGTCACTTGGGCAGCGTGGCATTGGCATCGTCCCCGCATTAGTGATCTATTGATAGAGGCTCAAGAATTAGGTCTCGATTAGGCAGAAAGAGATCAGCAAGAACTTAACTCCCCTTGATAGGATTATACCACCTGCGCGTTCTGGATGTGCAGCTACAGCTCTGAAGATCCGTGAGATGTCGATTGCTCCAAGTGCCTTCGGACTGAATGCCAGATTTTCTCACTGCTTGGGATCTAACTTGGATCCTTGTGAGCCCTACATTGAGAATTAATCTTTGTAGGGCTTGGTGAAACGCAGCTGGATGTGATAAGAGGAGGAGTGGGCGTGTTGTTGGGCTCTGAAAGCAGCACACTGAGGTGACAGATCCTGACTTCTAAGCTGCAATGTGACATGTTTTCCCATAGCAGGAAGAGTTGTTTGACATTCCCGTTACCTAAATCCAGCTAGATTGCTGATGGACTGAATCCACAGGGGTGCCTGAGGCGCTGAGCATTATAAGTTGAGGAAATCCTTTGAGCAGGATGCATCTCATTTGAAGGGAGACAGGGAGTGCTGCTTCCCTGGCTTAACGCTGTTAAATTCCTTCCTGAGCGCACGCAGCCTGTGTTAATTTGATGGTGACTAATGCAGGGAGCAGGTCTGGACCACGAGCACCTTGAGATCCAGAATAAGCAAATGAGGAGTGATGATCCTTGCTCAGTGCTCCTGAAGTTTTATCTTGTTCTCCTACAGGGGAATTCTTGGTCTGACTGGAGTTGTTCTGTTTAAACACCTGCTGGCTTTGAACCCATTCCAGCTGTTTTCTTGGCTCTGCTCAGTTCAGTTTGGGGTGTTAAACAGATTTACACCAAATCAGGTGTGTGCTATAAATGGTGAAAATATCAATACAACATGTTACAGTTATGGGTGCTCTTAGGATGGAGCAGAAGGTACAGAGGAAACCTTGTGGGACAGCCACGCTTGGGTAAGCCCTGATGCAGCTGGGGAGCTGATTCCTCTGAGCAGGGAGTGCTGTAGGGGCACAAAGAACAGAGCCAGACCAATTCAAGGGTGCACAGTGGAAGCTGTCCTTAACATTACAAAAATGAAGGGAGGGAGATGAGGACAAGACCAGTGCATTGACTGAGTTGTTTTTAAGTTGGTCAAACACCAGAACAGGAACCCCAGAGAAGTTGTGGCATCTTGGAGCTGTCTGAAACTTGCCTGGGGAAAGCCTTGAGCAACTGGCAGATCAGACCTGCTTAAGGCAGGAGTTGGGGCTAGAGACCTCCAGAGGACCTTTCCTAAGCAAAAACATCATGATATTGGTTAAGAGCTGTTCTGTCTGTCACTGTTGGATTTGTGTGACATTGGGCACGTCATGGAGCTTCTCTGCCCATGTTCTTATCAGCTTAATGGCATTAACTGTCCCACTGTGCACATGAGGTGCTAAATACTGCAAGGTGCACACACAACTCTAAACAGCCTTAGAGGGGATGTCCTGCAGGAGAACTTGTGTAAACATCTAGGTTTGGAGAGGAGAGATGTAACAGGCAGTTCCTGCTCTGCCTTTTAATACTGCAGAGCTCAGGAGACTGAAACAAATGGGAACCCTTTGGAAACGAAGATCCAGCTTAAGGAGAAGTAGTAGGGACAGAAGTTTCTGGGTGAAATTAAATGTGGTGATGTAGTGGGAGAAACACCCGTTTTTCTTTCAGTTCCCTTCTTGCTCAGAGTGGCAAGTACAGGGCTTGACTCTGCAGACAGCGTTTAGAAGATGCTGATGCTGGAGCAAATGGAAAGATTTCTGTTTACTCTTGACCTAGAGGATGTTTGTGGCTTTTACTCTGGGTAATAAGGCTGAGAGTTGATGCCTGAAAAGGAAGGAGCTCGTATTAGGATGCATTCCTTGGTTTCTTCCCAAGAGATCACTGTGTGTCGCCAAGGCAACCGGCCAAAAACAAGGGTTCTGTTTTGTAGCTGTGTAGGGGTTTTCAGAAACCAGATTTTGGCCTGAATTGGGCAGAAGCAGAGGGATCCTGTGAGCTGAGAGTTCATACCAAAGTCCCTTTCTCTTTTGGGGTATCAAAATCAATCCTGACACTGGTTTTAGTGAGCACCTCTCTGTGTCTCTCGGGGTGAACGAGCCCACCTTTCCAAACCTTGCCTTGGATTTGCTCGAGGGTCTTTAGTGGTGCTCCTTGCTCAAGGAAGCAGTGTTTAGGGAACCTTTGATGACTTGGAAAATATCAGTGGTTTGCTGGTGCCCAGCAGGGATCTGGGAGAGATAAAAAACAGGTCTAGCACATGCTGATCCACATGCTGTGGGTGTCTGTACATACAACCAGGGCTCATCATTTATTAGAAGGGAGGGAGGGAGGCAGCCCTGGCAGTTGGACCTTCTCTTCTGTGAGATGCAAATGGTGTTTTGCTTGAAATGTGGGAATTTGGCCTCTCTTTTCATCCCCATGTCTGGCCACTTGAAAGCCTGACTGTAGTAAAGGTCCCAGCAAAATGGAGCTGAGGAGGTCCACGTCCTCTGGCCCACATCCTGCCTGGCTTTTTGGAGCGGGAGGGTGGCTGGGACAGGCTGGGAGCAGGTTCCAGCACTGCTCTGGGCTGCACAGAGGGAGCTCCAGCCCCTGCCCTGGGCTGCTGGCAGTCTACAAGACTTGTGACTTTGCTGTGGCCTGAGAGATTCTGCTGGTGTGCAACAAATTTCAGGAAAAACAGCTTTATTGCTCCTTCCAGACCTTCAAATATGTGAAGCAGCTGTTAGTTTTGGAGTTGGAGCTGGATCTTGGTGAGGGGGAGAGAGATGCTGTTCCTGTGTCAGGATAACCGTTTCCCAGCTCTCTTGTGCAACTGGAGCTGCTGTGGTGGGACAGGCAGCACCCACCCAGGGCTCTGAAGGTCCCTGTGGGGCTGTGTGTGATGGGACACAGCAGGATCTGCAGCTGTGCCCATCCTGGGGATCAGGCTGCCTGCGTGGGCAGGGACTTGGAGCTTTTGTCCTCCTGCGGGGTTCAGGTGCCCTTGAGGACTCTTCATCTGCTCTTGTGGCTGTTTTGAGGCCTCTCCAAGGTGTGCCAACATTAGTTCAGATAAAGCAGTGGGGGTGTGACTCAGTTTGAGGACTCAGGGACCGTTTCCAGCTCCAAACGGATGTGCTGGGCAGCTGCTGGAGGAGCCTGGCTGAGCTGTCAGCTCCGGTGGGGAGGACAGGATACGAGCACAGGGGTGGAAGGAGACCTACTGACCTTTATTCTAAACCAGGAGTGGGGCAGAGGATGCAGAGCACTGCTGTGACCTCTGCTCAGGGCTCCTCTTTGTTATGGCAGAGAACTAAAAGCGTTTCAGCCCCGTAGCCCTGGGAGGAAGGGAAGGCTTTGCTGCAGGATGTGGATCTCTGGGATCTCAGAGGATAAAATCTACCTCGGCTGAGCTGAAAAGAGTCAATGGTGCTTTGGTCACCTGCCAGAACAACGTACAATAACACTGGCAGTGAGATAGAAATCTGGGTTTCTGCAGAGCACGTGACTGGCACGTTGGAGCGAGAACTCAGGAAGGATGGCAAACTGCAGAGCCAGCCGGGCTCCTGAGGAGCAGCCACTGCCTTTAGGCTTCATGCTCTCATCTCCTTGGAGGCTGGACTCTGCTGGGGAGGTCCTGTGTGTGCAGCACTTGCCCTGACTGTGCTCCTTCCACGTGTCTTGTCACTCCTGCGGTTCATCCCGTCACAGCATGTTTGTCCTCTCCAGGGAAAGTGACTTCTGGCCAGGCCACCCAAAGTCCTGTGAGTAACAGGACCTGAGAGCCAGCACTCAGCAGGTTGTTGGTGATTTTAATGTGTTTTTCCTGTCACAGCTGGTGGTTTGCCATGTGCTGGCAGGCGACCCTCAGCCCTGTGTGAGCAGGGATCACGGGAACAAGGCTGGTGGGATCCAAACAGTTGGAGTCTAATGCTAAATTGTCTTCAAAGATGTTCAGCTGAACTTCAAAACGTTCCAGCTTATGTGGACTTCAACAAGGTCCATGTCCTAATGTTTTGAGCTGCGTAATGCCTGAATGTGGCTTCCAAATTCCCACTTAAATGTCTGTTAAAAATTATTCTTAATATCCCTCAGTTTTCATCATGGGCAGGATTGGGCAGCAGCTTTCTTGGTCTAACCAGCTGAACTTCTTGCTCTGTAGTTCTCCATCATCTCAGCTCTGTTGGAGATGGTCTCCTGTGAGAACCAGGTGTAGGCTCAGGATGCTGGCAGGGATGAACACTTCCAGCTATTGCCCAGACCTGTTTGGAGCAAGTCTGCACAGTGGGAGTCTAAACATCAGTGGCTGCCTGAAGTATTTTTTTGCAAGATATAACACAATTAAATTAACCATAACCCAAGTAAATTAATGTGGTGGTAGAAGCAGAAATCTCTCTGCAAAAATTCCTTAGATTAATTATGTCATCTCTGTGTTTTGGAGGGATCAGGCCAGAGATTTGTGTTCTTTAGGTCTCAGAGAGCTGCGTTCTTGTTCTGTTTTCTGTCTCTGGCTGTGCTCTGCTGGGGAAGATCCATCTGCCACTTTTAAGGAGGGGCTGTGGCAGTATCTGACATGAATGTATTGCATTTTTGGTAGATGAGGTCAGCA